TAGTCTTTTTATACGCATTTTTATACCTATTTTTTAGATATTGCGTTTTAATGAAATATATTTATGTGTTTTTCTTTCAGGTACAATCAAATAAATAAAAATGATAAAATGAGTGAAAAAAAATAAATTTGGAGCAAAAATAAAGATGCAAAAATGAACTGAGGCGCCTAGGACTGGCGCTTACGTGCTAGTTAAACAGAGAGAGTCGCGCCTAAGCGTCAGGTACCTTGCGCTTAAGTTGCGCTTAAGCACCAAAAGTAGTTATTTGATGATTTATTTGATGATTCATTAAATTTAGATGAATTTTTGAAAATGTGTTTGAAGCAAACCTTGGTAAAAACGTGAGAAATAATTCATAGACAAGAAAATTCATTCAATTGGCTTTTGAAAGGAGGCAAATTCTAAAAGATTTAATAAATTGAGACACATTTTGAAAAGACACCAAAACACCCCTTAGATTTTTATTAAAGAAAACTTGGATCATCAAAGGAGGGGGGCGGCCAATCATCATCCATCCATCCAAAGTAACTGCCGCCACCACCGTCCATCGTCCTTGCCGCCGGTCACCTTTTCTTTTTATTTTGAGTTTTAGTTTGTATTGTGAGTGAAAGAAGAGAATTCAAAGAAACTTCAAGATAATTGATGGAGAGGATTTGAGATAAGTGTTTATCTTTGTGACTACATTTGATTTTCATTTAGACTTCTTGTTTGTATGCATAACTACTACTTTTAAACTTGTGTGGTTGTATTTTCTCCATGAATTCTAAAACAGTTTTCTTTATCTTTTTCTTTAAAATTATAAGTGATTAAGTATTGAAATGAAGTTTTGTGAACTATTAGACTTTAATGTTTGAAGAAGTTGTGGTGATTTTAAACCTTGTACTTCATTTATTTCTTGATTTGAACAATTAAGATGTTGATACCTATTGTGAGAACATGTAAGATGCGAGATTGTATTGACTCAGTCAACAAATGATAAGAATCACATTTGATTTCATGAATCACATTTGATTTCATGAATGAGAATGTAGTTTATGAGATTGAGTGCAAATAAATAGGAAAATAAACTTTGAAGGGTGTAGAATTAGAGGACTTTAGAGTGACAGGCTAAAACCCTAATTTGATTTATAATTTTATGTTCTGATACGATATGTTAGCCCCCAGGTGGAGGGAGAAGATGAAACTCTAGAGTGAGAGCTAGTATCTTCCCTACCTAAATCATCTTCAAAACTATTCAAACTATAAATTAGTCAATGTTCTTTATAGAATTTATAGTAAGGGTAAAGAACATTATTGCTCCTATTTGACACAACACAATTAGAATACTTCCATAACATAATTCTTATATTTTTTACTGATTCATGATAAGGAAAAATATATTTTATTTATATTGTCTTTATCTTGCAAGTATTTAGTTAAGTTAATTAGTTGCTTACTTTATTTTCAATTATCAAACATTACAAAAAGAATTGAATTTTCATTCCTATTATAGCATCTAGAGTTTAAGTAAGAATATTTTGCTAAGTAAAATTTTATTATCTAATTTTCTTTGTTTTGTAAGTTGCATATTGTTCGTTATCCCTGTGAGTTCGATATTCATGGCTTAATCTAAAAGTTACATATTACTTGATAATAATACGTCTACTTGCGTATTATCTCATATTTAAATATTAGAACTATATTCTTATTTGCTACATAGTAAAAAAATTACCTAGCTTTTGCTTAGGAGTAGCACTCACCTTAATCAGGGATGATTTTTTTTGCTTTTAGTATTTGTCACCATCTCCAAGTTGCCTCCTATAATATATAAAATATTTAAGTTACAAAATTTTATTATTATTATTATTATTATTATTAATTTAATTATCAATTAGCAAATTTCATTATATTATTTAATTAAGATTTCAATACTTGAACTTTAGGTTTAATCATTGATATTAATACTTATATTAATTTTATTAATTTAACAAAATTCTTTTTTTTTTCTTTATTGTCACTATCCTTTCTCGAATAAAAGTGAAACTTCTATTAGTTGAATCCTAATTTCATTAAACCCTATTATTAATAATTTATAATATACTTAATTCATTTAATTAAAGCCTTACCTCTCTCAATGGCTCGGCCCGACTTGGCTCACGCACTCTCATCCCTTCTCTTTCTTCTTCGACTCGATCACACGGTGTCGAATGTCACTATGCACGAAGAATCTTCTCCCGCACTCGCGTACTCATTTGCTTAACTGCGGCGTCGCCTTCTAGAGCTCAGTTGAAGCCCCTGCCTGCCCTTCTTCTTACTAAGCACGAGGGCTCAACTTTAGCTCCCTCCCGCACGAAGCTCGATGATGTCGCGAGTGTCAGGACACTTTTTTCCTCTCCTCTACTCGTCACCGAAGTAGTCTCCTCCGCTCGACAAAGACGTTGCTTCTGCCCAAATTCTCACTTTGTCCTCGCCACTCGGCTCCAGGTAAGTCAGTCTGCGACTTAAAAGGTGAGTTTGCCTCCCCGTCTTCCTAAGCTCCACTCACTTCCTCTCTCTCCCGCTATGTTCTGTTCATTTTCTCTCCCTTCATCTTTCAGTTTCACGACCCCTCAACTCCTCTTCTTCAGTTTCACGATCTTCTTGCTTCTTCCTCTTTCGTTCATTTGGCTCGACCCCTCCCTTCATCTTCCAAGATTCTTTGTTTCCCCTCCCTTATGTATAAAACCGTTACACTTCTAATATTGCAATTAGTGCTCTCTCGGGTAAACCTATTGAACTATAGCCTACTAATGTAAACATCAATCCATCCTGAATCTTTGTGTTTTTGGACCACCGAACTATGCTTCCCCTAAATAGTACTTCGCAAAGTTTGCTTCCAAAAATAAAATTGCTTTGCTCCTCTCGAGTGTGGTTTCATTCAATCAAAAGGTTAACTCTTTTGCTCCACCATGTAAGTCTTAAAATTGCATCATAGAATAAGAGAGGCCTCCAAATAGGAGACAGGCTCTGAGACTGTAAAAACACAAATTTAGAATATCATATTTACATTCATAATATGCTTGAAACTAAACGCCATCATCATTTAGTCATAAAAAAAGCAAAAAATTTAAATTGCCAAAGATCTTAAAAAAATTATAATGCAATGCTATGGGCTTGCATATTATGTTTAAAAATTTATATTTTGTTTTTATTTAGCTATGGAGAATTCTACTGGTTTGTGTGACACCTTAGGAATACCCTTGGGCTATTCCCACTTAAATAGCTCAGCTTGTGCCTCCTTGTTGGCTGCCTTCAAACTAAGAATTGCTCTCCCATTCTAGACAAGCTTAATGACAAAGTTGGCAACATAGAAAACTAAACTCTTAAAATTTGGGGGTACAATTTTAGTTTATAATATCTTCTAACAATAATTATATCTCTTAATGAATATGATTTGTTTTTCTCTCCAAATATGTCCTAAAGAATTACCTGATGAAATCTTCAATTTTTCAATGATAAGAGAGACTCATAAATATTTAGTCCTATTCTATGGAATCAAACTACCCTACCTAATAATAAGGTTGGAATTGACCTTAACTCTATATCCACACTTAATTTGTCGAGTAAAATTAAGGTCGTTTCATAGTTTTTTAAACTCCCATTCCTTCTCTCCAATTGGCATGCTCATGCATAAAGCTCTTCATGTTTTTCCTCATCAAACATTTCCTTGTTGTGGAAAAAGCATAAAAAACTGACCTTGCTTTTTAAGAAGAAAATTAAATCCAATATTGAAGACAGCTTTGCGATCTCCCTTACTCAAATCCTTGGTCCAATGGTTAATCATTTAACAATATAAATTCTTGTTATTTTTTTATATTCAATAAACCTGCTAACACTCCCCTCTTATATGCTATCACAAAATCGTTCCTGAGAATGACTGAGACCTACCTTATTCGCTAAGCATGGCCTTATACACCAAACAAGGTTAACGCTGCTTGTTTGTTGTTTCTGATCTAATCCATTAAGCAATCAAAACTCTATTCCTTATTACCTCCAGTTGTTTTATTCTATTTGGCGGGAAAGTAATGCTAAAACATTCAATAATAACTCCAAATCTCTAATTCGCACAGCTAGCATTCTTTTTTCTTACTTTAAGAACCATGAATCCACTAAGAAACCCCATTTTTCCCTAACCCCTTCAATTAAAATCAGATGTGATTAAAATTTGCGGTTTCAGAGTATCAAAACCTTCCTATTTTAGTTTGAATTCCACTACCAAAAGCTTTGAATACCCTTTTTGTCTGGAAATAATCAGATAAAGACACATAGACCAGTAAAACATAAATCATTCAGATATATTAAGAAAAAACACAAAAAACTCCAACATGCGGATTGGGAGTTTTGGAAAAGAGAAAAGAAAGTTTTCACTTTCTTATGATTGTAAGCGTAAGATAAGCATAAAATAAAGAAATATAGAAGAGCGTTTTCGTCAATAAGCCACAATTTCTTTCCCTCATGATTTGAGCAGGAAGAGGGCAGAATAATCTGGATGAGTAAAACTAGGCCTGTGTTTTTAAAAAAGCAGAATTAAATTACCTAAATCCAAAGGAGACCATACATATCATATCAAATGGATATTAAATATTAAATGAGAACCTTAACAGTTGTTTTATTTTTTTTTTGTTTTTTTAATAATTAAAAAAAAAATTAATCATTAAAAAAAAAAGTGCAGCCCAACTCCTCGCCGACCACTGCGTGAGGTCATCAATTTGACGCTTACAGTTGATAAATCCGTATAAATATCTTAAGAAAATCCATAAAAATCATTATCTAAGAAAAAAATCAAAATCGAGTAGATCTCAATCCATCATGCCCCTTCATTAAATTGCAGAAAATTGAAGAAATAGATGCATATATAAGCTCCCCATGAGAAACTCAATCTTCAATCTTCAAAACAGCCGAACGATCATCATCCCAGCCATCGAACATACAAAAAAAAGAGCGAGAACGAGAAGAAACTCGACGGCATATCGAAAACTCACCATGGAGAATATTTTCGAGCCATTTGGACTGACTTGTGCGGATATGACTCGCCCACCACCACGAGTACGCATTGCTCGCCGCCCTCCGCAACATCTCGCTGCTCCGCCACGCGCTCCCGAACCCTATAAATCCCCCGCCGATCGCACAAAATGGAAAAAAAAAACTCCAGCAAATTAGCATCCAAAAAAGTGAAACAAAAACAAAACGGAATCTCGATAGAGAGAGTCAATCCACACCTCAACTGAATTCCAACGGAAAATAGCTAAAAATAGATGGATACGCGGAGACAGCGCCGACAGTAGTTGTGGGAATAGATGAAAATCTAGAAGAGCATAGAGAATAAGGAGAAGAAGGAGAAGAAGGGAGAAGAGGAAAGGAGGCATCGCTGAGACAGACGGCTTCTTTCCGCTTTTCTTTCCGCGGGATGTATGCTTCGCTGTAAGTGTCGCTGAGATAATTGGAAAAATACGTGAAAAGGCGATCGAGAAGAGCGAACGAGGCCGAAGTAGCTGCGTGCGGGCCACGTCGGGGGAAGCCGGGCAACCCGTCCAACCCGAACATTTGTAATAAATTATTGAATTTTTATAAGAAAAAAATGTCACAGAAATATTTATATTAATTATTATAATTTTATAATACACGTCGTATAATTCAAATGTTTCTAATGCTGTCCATCTAGAGTGAACCAACCATAAGATGGACAAATGAGCCAGAGCGTTAATCGATTGCTCGGCCTAAATGACAGACAAATTGAAAACTCAGATAAGGTTAGAGTAGTAGAACACGAAACGAGGACGCAAAGATCGATCGAGATTATTAGTAAATCGACTAAGGTATCTCGCAGGAAAAAATCAGCTAGTGGGAGGAAGAAACAACGAATAACCGTTAACTCCACAACATGTAGTTGATCGATAAGGTATCAGCCGATTAAAAAACAACAGGGGTGTCATTGTCATTTCATAGTATCTTTACTCATTTATATTTTAAAAGAAATCATTATTAAAAAAAAAACCTCAAAACATGAATCTATCTTTATGAGAAAAAAGTCATATTCAAGCTAGAATATGCTTAGAGTAGTCAACTTTGACTTGAGATTTACATATGTTATAGTAAGTTGGGAAAGCTAGGCCCATGATGTAACAATCCCTTGAAATGCTTTAAAGCGCATGAATGGTTTGTTTGTTTCGAAAAGTATATAAATTGCATCCCCATAAAATTTTATAAATATTTAACATACTTGAAATACTATAAATTACAAAAAAATACAAGAAAATATTATATATCCCATAACACTTAATAAAAAAAAATTATTGTTGAATTTCAGATTATCTTCTTGTGAACACGTCTCGAGTGTTAGAACTTGTAAAGAGAGAAGTGAGATGAGAGATTCAAAGAGAGAATTGACATATGTAAGAACCCCCAAATTTGAGAATCTAAAAAACGACAGAATCCAAAAGTCGGTCTCTTTATTAATGTCTTGACTTCCAATTTATAGATGTTGGAGAATACAAGTACATGTAAGGAAAGGGTACATTCTATATCTGTTTTAAATAATTGAATTCAAATTAAATGGTAATAAGTAATAAACGGTGGCATCTGGTAAATTGACATGTCCTTAAACAGGTTATTTTTGCTCCTATATTTTATACTTATTTTTTATGACATTACACTTTAATAAATATATTTTTTATTTTTTTGATACAGGTATAACATGTTAAGCAATTGGAGCGAACTGGAGCAAAAACAGAGTGAAACGGAGCAAATGGAGCAAAGGAGATTTGGACTTGAACGGATGCCTATACGCCAGCTTCTGGTGCTTAGGCGCCGAACCCCATAGAATTTTCAGAAAAGCTGGCGTCATGACGCCGCATCTTAGCACTTAGGCGCCCGTTGTTTTAACAGCCGACAAAGAAGGTGGCGCCTATGCGCCAGAACCATATGGGCAACTTTTCCAGTGGTTTTTCATGTAAAAAAAGATGGTTTTAGAGCAGAGATTCATTAGAGGCGAGGAGAAAAAACTTTTGGGAGTTCAAGTAAGGAGATAGAGTGTAGGGATATCAAGGAAAAGTGAGAGTTTTTTATTGTTCTCTTTATTGTTTTCTCTGTTTCAACTTAAAATTGTGTTAGACGTGCAAAGATTTGTTGTGAGATTGCAAGGTGAACGATGTGTGGTGGATCATTTTTTCATTTCTCAAGGAAGAAAAGATAAGTTCTTGTATTTACGTTGCCTTGTATTGAAGTATTTTATAATAGTTAACTTTGTTTTCATACAAGATGATTTGCTTTGTGATTTTCTCCATGAGATCTAAGTAGTTTACTTGTTTCCTTCCTTTTGTAATGAATTAGCAGTATTTGTAGGGAGTAATTTAATTAGAATCTTGCTACAACAATGAATGTGATGGTAATTCATCTGTACTTCATTTACATTGTAATTTGGCCAGATGTAGTCTTAAAATTCGTTGTGAACCCATAAGATCCAGGAGAGTTATGGCTTCAATCAACTATTGATTGCCACACTAATTTTTAGGGTAAAAGAAAAGTAGTCTTGAGGTTAGTGCAAATATATAGGGAGACGATTTTAGCGGGGATAACTTGGAGGCTTCTAGGGTGACAGGAAGAAACAAGTGCTATGTTAACCTAGGTTCTTTATACACTTAGGAAAGGGTAAAGAATAGGAAAACTCCTATTTTTCTTTGATTTTAATTTAGGATTCTAGTTTAATTGCTTATACGAAACATGAAAATTAAAGCATGATAGTTTTTGATATTAAATTAACAGCAAGTAACCAACAATATTATTTGAAGATAGTTTAAAATCGTTAAAATAAAATAATGATTTATAAAGGTAAAAAAGAACAAATTAATTGTAATTAGTAAGATTTAAATTATTTCAATATTTGATTATAGGTTTTTTACCAGAGAAAAGCTATACAATCGAGTTGAGTTCAAGTTAAATACTCGTGCTTTTGTGCCGCATACCCCAACTTGTTGGTTGACATCCACGGTATAAGACCCCTTAGATCAGGGGGGTCGAATCCCCTCTGACACAGTTGGCTTTAAGGAAGTGGTAATTAAATTGTTAAACATATTAGGGGTGGCTAGAGTCTCGTATAACAACATCTGGCCTTTCCTTAAAAAAAAACTTGAAATTTTAAATTATAGTAGTATTCAATTTCTTCTAAATCTGATATATCCTATTACTTTTTCAGATTGATTTTATACTATAAGATTAAACAAAATGTTTTTTCTAATATTTAAGTTCATTTGATCATATTAAATTATTATGTCCATTTATTGCATATTTCAACTATTATAATATATATTGAATGTTATGAAAATAAGAATGAGATGGACTCCTTATATTGCTAGCATGTAATATTAGCTTTGATGTTGTTCTCTCATATATATAGTTCTCGCTGGAGACGCTAAGGTACTCGTGTATATAAATGAAAAATATTACTGATATTATTGAGTACTATAACACTATTGATCGATCATAATTGAATATTAAAATGTTGATTGATTCTTTTACATTGATGAGGTACATTTAACTAGAAGACCTTTTTGTTTTTCTTTCACGAAATCGTTGTTTAAAAACAAAAGTATTCACTAACTAATATTAGCTTATTGTATTTTACATAATCATGTTTAAGTTGTTAAATAAAAATGATTAATAGAGAGGAAATATTTACAAAAGATGAAGATAAATTGAGAAAAGCTAAATTTAACCAATTTAATTTAATTTCTTCTATATAGGTACTGTTTCAGTCGTTTTTGAATGATTAAATTTTCATTATAAAAGAAATAATTTATTTATTTTAAATTTTTTTTTTTGTTTCAGCCATAATAATTTTGTGTTGCTTTCCTACATTCAAACCATCCAATTCTTATATATTTACACATCTAACACCAAAAATTTATTTTTTTACATTTATATCAGATCAAAAATATAACCATACCCCTTTTCATGCAAGGGTAAGGTGGCAACTAGGGCTGTCAATTTAGCTCGTTGTTCGTGAAC